CATAAAAATGAGTAAACATACTTAAGAATTTAATAAGAGGATGTGCAATTATTGTTATTGCAAAAAAATGTTTGATAACTTTCTTTGCCCTTCTGAAGATAATAATACATGTAACCAATATGCTAAAAAGTTAAAGATTAAATAGCAAGTAAAACAAACAGTATTATTAAAATAAACAAAACTAAAAATAGTCCAAATCAGTAACATTACTTTAGATGATTTTGGCATATCTACTTCAACTAATTTTAATGTAATTGTTTTAAATAACTTAAACATTACTTCTGATGATTTTAGTAGCATTATATTTAACAATTCTGCTACTATTACTTCTAATATTTCTAATTTCAGTAACATTGTCTCTAATGATTCAAGTAATAGCATTTATAATAAAAGTAAGCATAAGTTTAAAATAATAATAATTCAGAAGTAATGATGTATAACCTGGATGAAGTACATAAAATAATTAATAAAAAGTTTGAAGAAACTAAAATATTCAGTAATTCTATAAATTTTACTTTTAAAGTCAAATTAAATTAAAACCTTCTTACTAAATTTTCTTTAGATCAACAAAATTTAGCCAATACAACTAATTTAAAAGTGATTAAAATAAGATTTGAGCACTTTGCATCTTTACTTGCCATATTACTTGAGTTTGAATCTGATTATTATTGAAAAATTTGAAAAATATATTTAAATAGTAATAAAAATAAATTTTTTAGTTTAGCTACAGCATATCTTAGTTGTACAATGTGAGATGATCAAGTCTAAAAAAGGCTAAATAACTAGCCAACCAAAAGACAAAGCAAAATTTGAGCTCTTATTAAAAGATATAAATATGCAGGAAATATTAAAATTACTATGTTGTAGGAAAACAATATGCTATTATTCAGAGGAGTTATTATATAACATATATAAAGCCAAAGTATTATCAAGTAGAGTTTCCTACTGATGCAAAAGAATGAATTAAAAATAATGCCTTGTCATACAATTTAAGAAGTACAGAAGTTTATTAGTAACTTTGTAAAAGTAAATTAATAAATTCAGAGATTTTATACAGCTAAGCAAGTATATTATTAGATATTAGAATATAGTAAAAAATTATATATAATAAACTATAATAATTCATTTGCATTAGCAATGCAGTATCTTAAGCAATCTGAACTCGAAAAAAGAGATTACAAAGTTCTTAATTATCTAAAAAACAATTTTGTACAGGCTCTATTATTTCTAACTTCTTTACTTAAACATGTTGGTACTAAAAATGCAACTAAAATCATTATAAACTCTATATTTAAAATGAACTAGAAACAATTTGAATTTTTTGCTATAAATCTTAATTGCAGCAAATATGGATTGCCAATAGCATATTTGTATCTTTCCACATTAGAAAATAGTAAAGAAGCTCAAAACAATCAAAATAATCTTGTAAAAACATAGATCAAAGTATTATGAATATTTTTTACTAGTTTTTGACAAGAGAAGTTAAAACTATTGTTTATTTTAACAGACAAAAATGCAAAAGAAATAGCTTTAGTTAAAGAGGCTTGGTTATTAATACTCAATATTCAACTTTGCTATTAACATCTTGAGCATGCTATTAATCAAAAAATTAAATAAAAAAAATATTATTTAAGCTTATATTTAGCAATCAAAGCATTAAAAGCTTATTGCAAATTTGCATCTATTAATTCTTTATGATTTTAAGTTAAAATCAGATCTATTTGTTTAGATAAATATGCTAAACAAGTTTTAAAAATGGTTAAAAAGCATGCTAATATGCACTCATCTATTCTAATACTTAAAAAAACTTATATTAGTTTAAAAAAAATTTACTAGTTATGTATTAAAAAGACATATTAGTTTTGTTATTTGAATAATCTAATTAAATTGTGAGGTTATTTATAGATAAACTGGTATAATAAAAAGGATTGAAAGTTATTTGCTTACTCTTTATACTTGCATGCTATGCCTTTTGCATATACTACAATGATTACAGAGAGCCATTAGTAGTTCTCAAATATAAATATAATTATAATTATAATTACTCGCATATAAATTAGCTTATTCAAATTATAACAGAGCAGCTAATTCCTGATTTTGAAATTAAATTAATTTTGCATAATAAAAATCAAACATTTTTATTATAGTGGTGTGACTTTAAAAAAGAATAAGATAGAGCAGCAGTTGCAAATATTTTGTCAGATGCAGAATATACTTATGAAATCAATATAAGCAAATGAATATGTTTCTGTTCAGCTTATCTATACAACTGCTATCACTTTTGCAAACATGTTGTTAATAAAATAAATGAAAAAATTTCTATCTATATTTTTGGAGACAACAAGACAATATAATTATCTATTACTTGTTTTTGACAAAAACAAAATTCCAACTATTGCTTTGGCAAATAACCTCTAGATTCGATTTAATATGACTAAGATAGTAGTTGAGCATAATAGTTCTAGTTTTAATTCTAGTTCTAGTTCCAGTTCTCATTTAAGTTATTTAAGTAACTTGCAAAATATGACTAAAGATATAAATTATGATGTAATGAAAAAAAGAAGAGAAAAATATAAATATTACAAAAAAAAATTTGATATTGCATTATTTTTGTATAATTAGAAAATAGTTAACTATAATTTTATAAATACTTTTGATAATTTGGTGTTACTGTTTGTAAATAAAATAAATAAATATAAAGAAGTATTACAAGTTCACTACCAACAAGCTACTTGGATGTTGAATGAAAAAATTGCATTTTGATTGCATTAATTAAGTATTACTCTATATATAGATAAAGTAAAAAACAAAAATATATCAATAAAAAATTACTATTATATATATATATATAAAAAAAGTATCAAAATTACTATATATAATAAAATATATATTAAAAAGTATTATCATTACTTTATCACTTAATCTGTAAGCTTTTCTAGGCAAATTTGCCTAGAAAATTGTTAAAAATATGCTTATAATTTACATTTTTTAAATTTTAAAATATTTAAATAAAATTTTATTTGATAATAT